TTCTCTGTGTGCTGCAGAGTGTTGCGCTTCGTTCTTAGGCTGCGCATTCAACAGTTGGCAGCGAGATGGTTTGGAGTCAATGTAGTGAGAGGATCGGAGAGTCGCCAGTATGGGATGAATGTTGGCGGGCCACTTTTGCTGTTGATCCTAGCCTGCATATCTGGGTGCGGGCGGCCTGTACCAGGGGTTGCCTTTCGCCAGGGATTGTGTGCTAGACGCTGTTGCACTACGAAAGATGAGATAGGCTTGTCCTTGGCGATCAGAACACGCACCCTCGCTTATCTCCCTCTTAGATCTTTTGGCTGTCACTGCGTCTACCCGTTGTGGCCATCCATCTACACCTTCACCACGAGCTGCGCGTTCGAAGGATCCAGCGTCCACTTCGGGCGGGTAGCATAAGCTAGGCAATGTATCGTCGCGCTCTGATAACCGGCGTTAGATACAGCACTCAATGCCTCTGAGACATACCCACTTCCGATCTGCGATTCCTTCAGAAAAGGTATCAATCCAACTGGCAGCCCACAAAACGGGTGCATGATCCAGTCGTTCTCCTTCACCAGAGTGTACGTCGGAACACCCCATCGAGCTAGCTCCGAGTACCGACCCCTGGCCATCGACGCCTTCTCCAGCCATTCTTCCTTTGTCCCATCCAGAAAAACGCCACGAAAGTGCATTCTCCTCTGCTCTTTGAGAGCTGAGGCTACAGAAGCCTGGCTCGCTACATCTGCGAGCTTGAGAGTACCCCAGATTGTGAAGGCCTCCAGCTCAAGGTCGGCTCGCCTCAGGCAGGCAATTGCCCGTCTACATGAAGCAGCTGACGGTAGGCCAATGAGAATGCACCCGATGAGGTATTTGGCACGCTCCATGGCTTCAGTTGCTCCAGCCAGCCAGACACCGGCCACCAGGTGTTCCTCGCGCTGAAGACTGTTTAGGGTTGCCTTAGCTGATTCAATGGCGCCCTTAGTGTACTGCTGAAGCAGCGTTGCAATGTCTGCTTGCAGAGTGCTCCGTTGTGTTTTCTTCTCGTTGTAAATCATGTCGACCCGAGATGCGGTAGTCATCGAATGGCTATGGATAGGCCTACGGCTGATATGGTGTGTGTCGTGATAGATTGGAATGTTGGCTGAGTTCAATAATTGCACGACCAACATGAATGAGGAGTGGCCCAAGCCTGGCGCAAGTCTAGCGATCATCCCATATTGCCTTTTTGGAGGGCCTGATGACGTCCTTGTAGCTCTTCACGGAGTAGTTTGCCCCGGTAACGTTCACGTAGCCGTCCTTTGCGATCGCTCTCCACATCTCGCGGAATGCCAGCCGGTCCGCGTGGTAGTACGCCCCTATGTACGGCTTTTTCGACACCTGACAGCATTGAGTTGAAGACAACAGCTACGGCAATAGCGCAGACAGTGTTGACGTTGTTGTCCTTGAGCGAGGGGTGGGGCCGGGTCCGGTATGCTACGCTATGTCAGATGGTTGGGACATTCACGCAAGCAAACCACTCACCTGGATCTTCCTCATACTGCGGCTTGTTGGAAAATGTCGGTGCGTAGAATGTAGAGAACAACTGGAAGATTGAGAGGAACTCGTCGTGAGAGGCGTTGCTGATCTGCGTGATCGTGAAAAACGAGACAATCCATCCGCAGAGGGAGTGTTCGAGTTGGGAGGGGAAGTAGAAATGAATGCCGGACGTCATGGCGTCCGAGATCGTGTACACAGCGTGGCGGGCGCATGGCGGCATGATCCTACAGTGATTACCAGTCAGCTCGTTACAGAGAGTAAGACAGTTCAAGACGTACAGGATGTCTCCAGGGAAGAGTATAATGGGCACCCATTGCAAGGGGTCGCCTGGAGCGCTATTGAGGTCACGGACACTCAAGTAGAGGAACCAGTCGATGTCAGTGCAGTCAAAGTAGTCTTCGCGATCAGGCGTGGTCTTGCGGATCGCCCAGTACTTGACACCTGTCAAGATCACAATGGCTGTGTACACACCCGCCGTATCAACGTGCCCAAGCGTCGTAGAGTGCGCTTGGGAAACGATAGCCCAGTTCAGACCGATTTGGATCCTCATGTCCAAGAAGATTTCGGCGTCGCCTGCATCCGGACCCTCGCCCACGGTCTCTTTCCAATTCTTCCAAGCCAGCCAGCCGAAGTCAAGATCGCTGATGTCTTTCAGTACACGTTGTCTGCAAGTTAGTAAGATGAATAGACAGACCTTTGCCTCGGAATTTGGACCAGAGGAACGGATTGCGGCGCATTAAGAACTTTGTACACCTTGTTCGGGTCGCGGTGAGCGGGATGAATGACTTCGACGAGGGGAACGTGCTCGTTCAACACTCCGGTAGGACGATGGCGGTTCTCAAAAGCTGTGAAGATCGTTAGAGATGCACGAAGATTCTAGGCTGATGCTCACATTGCACTTCAACCTTATTGCCTGGGCCGCCACTGCAAATCTTCAATCCGCTGCACATATCGTAGTTCCAGCCCTTGTTGAGCTTCGTATTCCGGATGATCACAACATTCCCTTCATCCATCCTCTTCTCGATGGAGCTCACGGCAAGGTTCTTCTACTGGTCGAGGGAATAGGTCTTGATCCAGTTTGTGTCCCGTGGTACTACCAACACATGGGCGTCCCTGTCGATGGAGCCAAATAACTGTCGCGCTCTCCAGTTCTGGTCCCAAACCGTCAGCCAATGATGTTCACGCTCGAAACATACAACTTACCACAGTATTTGGGAACGTGGCGGCGACGTCGTACAGGAGAACGGGGGAGGAGTTGCTTGCGTTTTCGGCAAGCACGTATGGGGCCTTAGGCGGCTCGTACCCGTCAGGATCCGAGATGTCTGAGTCGTAGTCGTCCTTGTGATCCCTGTCGCTTTCAAGAGGTTCCGGCTCTTCTTCCTTCACCTCTTCCTCGTCCTTGTTGTCCTTGTTGTCCTTGTTGTCCTTGTCCTCTTGCACTTGCACTTGTGCTTCCTCATCCTCATCCTCCTCACTCTTCTCCTCGGCGTCTGCGTCCATCGTGTCGTCCTCTTCTCCTGGGAACTGGCAACCTGCGTGCCTAGCCCGCTTTGTCGCGCTCTTCGGGGCCTTGGGAGGTTCCTCATCCTCATGCTCATCCTCTTCCTCGTCGCTCTCCTCCTCGGGGTCTGCATCTATCTCCTGATCGTCTTCTCCTCGGAACTCGCGACCTGCACGCCTAGCCCTCTTCGCCGCACTCTTTGGTACCTTGGGAGGTTCCTCATCCTCATTCTCTTTTTTGTCGCTCTCCTCCTCGGTGTCGGTGTCCATGTCCTGATTCTCTTCTCCTCGGACCTCGCGACCTGCGTGCCGGGACCGCTTTGACGCACGCGTCGGGGGCTTGGGAATTCGGGTGGGCAAGAGCGAGTCGGTTGTAGCAGTAATATTAACTGCAGCTGGATCTTGCTCTGTGGGATTCCTCACTGTGGGGCGCATTCCCAATGCCCGCAGCTAATGATTGTCAGCGAACACTCGTACCAAGAGGCAAAAATGACTTACCACTTTTGTCCTTCCCCAACGCAGGGTCTTCCTTATAACGCCCGCACTCGCAGCCTCCACCGTTGCATCAGGAGTATGCGCAACTTGGGCCGGTTCTGGGAGAGGAGTGGCATCAGAGCGCTCACCCCATGTCGCCGACTTCCAGCTGTGCTTGATGCTCTTCCGCGCTTCACAAACATTTACGTGTGTGATCTTCTCCTCTGTCTTGACGACGACTGAAGGTTGCCGTGACTAAGGGTGGTCAGGACAGAACGTGCTGAGGTTACAAGAACTTGAACGTACCGCATCCCTCGCACTCTGGGAGGTGCGGGCCCGCGACCAGACTTGGCAGAGGGCGGAGCAGGGGCGGTGGAACCCGAAGCAGCAGGGGGAATCTGTGATGGGGCCTCGGATGTACGCTATGACTTGTTAGAAAGTTGACAATGAGATTGCCGTCATGACATACCGGCGCGGTCTCTGAGGTGTTCTTCTTCTTCTTGGGCTCGCCAAGCGAAAGAGGAGCGCACCCGCGACCGTATTTGGCGGAGGGCGGAGCAGGGGCGTTGGAAGAAGCAGCAGGTGAAGTCTGCGACGGGGCCTCGGACGTACGCTATGACTTGTTAGAAAGCAGACAATCAGATTGCCGTCATGACATACCGGCGCGGCCTCTGAGTTCCTCTTCTTCTTCTTCTTGGGCTTCGATGTTCTGCCGGATTCGCTGGCCTAGCAGTCCGTTAGCATATGGATGAGTGCGAGATCGGGATATCTATACCTCGTCGCTACCTCCACCACCTACTTGCCGATTTCCCTGCGTCCGACTCAGCAACACATCTTGATTGACAGGTCAGTTACGCGTACCTGCTCGTTGTTGGAACTATCTTCGCGGCACCTCTTCTTTTGTGCAACCGGCTCCAGAGTCCCTCGCTCTGGCAGTCCTTCTCCCCCAACTTGGTTCTGAGGGTTCAAGAGATCGGAGTCGATCGAAAGGTCCTCGTCGCTTGCCTCTGACGTCCGTTGGTCCTGTACTGCCCGGTCTCCACTGAGGGAGCGGCGGCCAGGTGGTGGCGAAGAGGGTGCACCAGCCTCGGGCATTACCGTGTCGCGGTTGTCATCATCTGCGAGATAATGCGCAGGAGTCAGGTTTATTGAATTGTTTAGTGTCGTATGACCATAACAAATAGGCGCACGAGGGAGTAGGTGCAATTCCAAGAGTGTTGTTGCGATGACGTCGTCCTCATCTGGAGGCAGGGTCTGACGGGCACTGTTGCGGGTTAGAACACAATGTGAAGCATAGTGCAAACGAGCATACCTGACATCCTGGATCAAGTCCTGCTACATGCGAGATGCAGGTTGAGCAGCATCAGGTGGCACGGGCAGTAGTTCCGGCATAACGGAAGAAGGTACGCGTGTGCTGACCGCAGGAGTAGTGGTAGGCTGAGCTGGTCGCGGTGGTGTAGGCAGACGTGGCAGGAGGGGCAGTGGCAGAGGAGGCGGTGGCAGAGGAGGCGGTGGTGGAGGAGGCGGAGGAGGAGGAGGAGGAGGAGGAGGAGGAGAGGGCAGAGGATGAGGAGAGGGCGGAGGAGGCAGCGTAGGCGGGGCAGGAGGCGCAGGAGGCGAAGCCAGCAAAGGCGTTGAAACAGGCGGAGGTGGCGTCTTCATGGGCGTGGACGTCTGAAGACCATCTTGAGAATCGATGGTCATCTCGAAATCTCTATCCCCTTCCTGAGACAGAGGGGCGGGCGGGGACAGCGGAGCAGGAGAAGCAGTACGAGCGGCAGACGCAAGGTCCCGCTCCGCCCTACCATCCATCATCGCGACATCTTGGGGCAGAACAGAACACGGCCTCGACTGAGGGCGCGGTGCCCTTGACCGATGCTGGCGCAGAGCCTGTGACTTTGTCAGTTTACCCAGTATTGTCGGGAATTGGGAAGACGTACGTGATCCTGCTGCCTGAAGCGATTCTGCATCCAGAATGGTCTCGATCTCTGTTGGTACCGCCGTTAGCCGCTGCGAGCTGTCAACGGAGGGTCCGTTTGGCTGACCGCCCTCGTCTTGCATGTCCTCGTCAAGCCCTATGTGTGGGAATGAGTACCGGTGACTGCAGACATGCGTACAAAAACAACATACGAGTTGACAACACCGGCGTAGGTGTCGCTGCCTCATTTGCGAGACTCGGCGTCACATCTTTTCCTTTTGCCTTCGCACTTGCGAGAGATGCTATGCGGTATCAGCAAGAGCCGTTTCAACGCAAACAAATGACTTACCCTGTCCAACTTTGCTGACTTTGCTGCTTGTTCCCGCCACCGCTTTAACAGCTGCCGAGGTCTTCACTTCAAAGCGATCTAGGAAGAACTTGGCGTCGTCGGGGTTATGCGGATGTTCTGCATCGTATGCTGCCCATTCATCAACTGCGTCCATGACAATGCTTATGGTGTTGTCGTGGCGCTTAGCGGTAGCGAGACGCAAGATCAGGTTCATGACCGTGTTCTCCTTCTGCTGCAGCCACTCAGGTCGGTCCTGATGCGGTGGCATCCGCGGCCAAACCTGTAAGATCGTGAGTTACGTAAGAGATGGATATGGCGGCTTGAACACACTATGAGAGGAACAAGGGCGGGCATTATTGCCCCTTTATGGCCGTATAGCTCTTGTCCGGAAAGAAGTGCCAGCGGCGAGATCAGCGCGGCAACGAGGAGTGGGAGGCAGCAATCCGTGGTATTATTTCCGTTGTAGAAGCTGGGCGAGCTGGCAAAGTGATAAGTGTCATATCAGAAACAACCTGAAGCTGGACTTACAGCAATGTCCACCCTTGGCATTCCTCCTTCATGCGCTTGCAAAGCTTCTTCACCAGTGTCTCGCCTTCACCTATCAGGTTGCCCTAAGTACATGAGTTAGCAATCAAAACAAGGATATAGGTGCTAGTTCCTGACCCCGAGCATATTCCGTAAGGTGAGTGCACAACACCCGAGGTTCGTCAGTCCAATGTACCAGATGCTTTGCTTCGTCGCATGCCCGATCATATCGACCAAGCCGTCGCAACCATGAGTTGCACTCTCAGTCATCAAACTCCAGACGAACTGATTGTAGGTCTCCTGGTACATTCCGACGAGTTTACTGTAAGCTCTGACAACTCTCTTCGGGAGCGGCGTGGACGGGAACAGCTTAGGGGTCTGGCGGATCCTGCGCAGTACCAGGTGCGAGGCCAGGAAGTCAAAGCCGATGAAGCTGACGAAGGACGAGAGCCAAGCGCTCTGAACGTTGTATTTGCGGTTAGAGAAATACATCGCCTGCTCAGCGAAGTCTGACGGGCCGTGCATGCTGATGTCCCCCATTGCGAGGAGCAACTTCCGCGTGATCGTCTTCCGCATGTGCTCGAGGTTGTCCGTGTCTGGTTGAGGGATCGGTGTTGCAAATATTGTTGCTTCCCATGCGCTGACGGTTTGAGTGGCGGCCTTTCAAAGCGGTTGCGTAAGTATAGTGTGCACAGAGGACCAAGAATAGCGTCATATGGAGAGGTGAGACCCCAACTATACGGGAATATGAAACCATCCCACCCGTGGCAGAGAGATAGTGCATGCTGGAGAGGAGTGAGAGGGCCCAGGCAGCCGAGGCAGAGGGGGAAACCGAGAACATAAGGGCTCCCACAGCCTACCAAGCATGGGGATGAGGTGACAGACAGTCACGTCGAATCTATGACGAGGCAACCTGCAGAAGCCGATGAGGAACATGCGTACCTGCAGTATTCTAAAGTTTTCCTCTGTCAACTCTCCTGCATCCACATGCATCCTCCAGTCCTCCACCGCTATGTCAAACCGTTTGGGCTCCTCGAATATACTAGAGCAGAAAGGAAGCCTAGCCAGTACGCGAGAAAGATGGTGGAAGTGGTCAAGCCTTGACGAAACAGCCAATTCTTCAAACTGCCTTATGGTCTCCACTTTGCAAAGCTCCTTGTAGGAATAGCCCTGCGTCGATTGATCGACAGAGTCCTGTTGCTTAGGCTGGCGCAACAAGTCCGAGGAAGAAGCGATAGGCTGGTCAGGTATACTACCAGAAGAATAGGGCGGAGACATTCTGAAGACGCAAAGAGGAACCGAGATCGAAGTACCGAGTGTAGAGTCGGTGGTGGCGAGCGCGGTGGTGGTGGTTGGACTTCAAAGTCATTCACTTCGCCGCCAAGTGCTAATATGTCACGCGTGACACACCCTACCGCACCATGGCAAGCTCAACCTTTCCGCTTGCTTGTCTTTAGTAGCAAACTAGCTAATGGTAGGCTGTACTATATATAAACATGCGTGGGGAAACAGCCGCTCAGAAACTGGCGCCACATGTACTATGTAAGATTGCCTAGTGGGGTAATACAGTCACTGAGGTTTTTGTGGCTAATGATTTTGAGAAGTTTGTATATTATACTAGAGTATGGATTATAATATACTCGAGAGCTCATCTGGTACTAGGGATAGGCGCATAGGGAGTCCCGTACTGCCTGCAGAGACGACGGTGATAGGCCGGGGCCCGAAATTCCCACAACGGTCGTAGTTGAGCAAGACGCGACTACGACCGTTGTGGGAATTCCGGGCCCCGGTCTTCACCGGCCACCTTTTGCTCTGTTGCATCCTTGCCTTTTGCCTTCATGGTCCCTCCACCCCTAGCATGGAATACACTTCATTTCGTTATAGTCTATGCGTGACTGCATGTCACCCATAGATCTGTTCGGGATGTAGCGCGATACGCAACGACCCACCAACAGCAGGTAACTACAATTGATGCTTCGGCCTGTATGCTGATATCTGTCTGGTTTCTTACAAGATGGCTGTACAAACTGTATAGCCCTGATTTTCTGTGGTGTGTTCCAGTACTCGCTGATGTAATCCGGGCCTTATTGGCACAATCTATCCCTTCGATTGGTCGACAAGGGGTTGTGTTTGCTATGCTGTCCTGTTGATCTCGCAATTGTCTCTATTAGGAAAGTTCGTTATCTATATCATTATTGTTGTACATGAAGGCACGGTATGTGGCAACTTCAATCTAATGATGGTAAGGTACATGGGTATGTGATGTCCGACAGTCATACATCCGAGTCCGCATGTACAAGTTTGCTGGTTATTTGGAGATTGTCGGATGGCCGACCAAGTAGCCAGTGGGCAATCTGCTGCATGATTGAGACAGGTTCTGATGCATCTATGTGATATACGTACTGTAAGGCGATTCCATTGTTTCGCAGAGTGTCGCAGACGTCTTTGCGGTGATTGGCACTTGGATTAGCCGCGTAAGTCGGCACAGTAACCCTGGAAGCTCCTGTCAGGAGTGATGCAAAGTAGACCACATTCGACACAGTGGCTAGAATTCGATAGTCAGTACGTCACTGACTTGGCAGCACAGGACTCTCACCTGCAGTCCGACTTCTCTGTTGCCCTGGCACACTTTCGTTTTGCCTTTCTACAGTTATAACAAGGCATGCCCTGCTTATACGTGCCTTCTCTCCAATCCCGTGACTTTGGGTGATTTTGCGACCTTCCGGAAGGCTTGGCGATGGGTGGCTGTGACGTTGATGCAGCCCATGATGGTTCCGCCGGTTTGGACTCTGCCTGGCTGCCAGACGGTAAGGTGGACAGGGCCCATGAAGGCTCAGTGACTTGTGCCTGTCCCATGTGGAAGTCAGTGCACCTTCTTTGCATGATCCAAAATGCTCACCTTGGTGCGGCGAGCCATTGCTCGGACAGGCATGTCGTCCTTGATGGAGGTTCAAGGGCAAGTTGAAAGAATCAGCGCTGATGTGACCATAAATAAGCTTATGTCACACTTATTGATGCACATGGGAAGACGGCTGGACGTTAGCAAACGGTCGGTGAGCTTGCGCTTAGCACAGAGGGCATAGGACGGTAGGTAGAGGCAGGATGGTGAAGGGAAAAGTGTGTGGCACTGATTTCAGATGCCACGCAACATAACCAAGTGCTTTCGGTTAACGCAGATCTGCCGCGTGCCCTCATATTCTTCCACTTCGCCACCGCACCCCGAGTGAACTCAACCACCTTCTCTCTTGCTCTTGACCGCTACCTCAGGATCTCAGTATGGCTGTAGACCCATCTCAGTATCTCTCTAGCTCGTGCTCGGCCGTCTACGCTCCATATCCCGTCTATCACGATCCAGCAACTCACCAGGACGTGCCTCTAGACATCGGTGACGGTGGGGCCCTCATTTCTGGATGCTCCTGCGGACAGGACAGAATAAGCTGTAACGCGCATCCTAGCTGTCGATGTGTGGGCAATATTGCCTACCATGACAGCGAGCAATGCAACTGCACTCGTTGCAAACCGTGCAAACAGGATCCTCGTCGCTGTATGGTGCGCCCGGCATGCGCATGCCGCAAGAGGGCACTCCCAAATCGCTTGTTCGTGTGCAACAGCCTATGTCACAAGCAGGACAAGCGTAAGTGTGGTAATCAGGTGCGTCTTTGGCTTCCTACAACCACACACTCCTTCCTTACCTGTTATTTGCGTAGCATGCCATCACACCGCTGGAGAAGTCAATTAAGATTGTACGACTTCCAGGTCTCGGATACGGTGCACATGCGTGTTGGGCTCTATAGGTGTTGAAGCTACCAAGCGTATCCCAGCAGGGACTTGTGTCGGGATTTACTCGGGAGTGTGCAGGACGGGCCTTGAGCTGTACGGGATTGCCAAGTGCATATAGCTAAGCGCTTTCGAACTTCTATTTACTGACAGTATTATACAGTGCAATTGAACTTCCGGACAGTCACGCTGTAGGGCTCGCAGCATACCTCAAAGCCGCACGCGCTGGCCCCTCTCCCAATAGTGACGACGAGGATGCTCCGTCAAACGGTCGGGTAGTTGCCTCTGGGTGCAGCCGGGTCAGGCGCGTTCTTGCTGCCCATGTCATAGATGGCACCAGGCACATCCTCGTCAACTGGGCTGGTCATTCGGTACCGACTTGGGAGATTGATGACGGCGAGATCAAGCACAATCTCTCGTGCGCTCATCTCGACAAGGAGGTCTCGGATGAGTCGCTAGCTTTCCAGGAGAAGCTCGGTCCCGACGTATACACCGCCTTCGGGGGTGATCTTGAAGAGCTGGATTGCTGCTCTGACGCCACCTGCAATGTTTTAGTGCATGGCCTCGACTATCACACGTACTACGATGCGTCTGAGAAGGGTACTGTGAGTTGCTCAGTCACCTAGTTGCATGGTGTTTGTTGATCTCGTTCATTATCTCAGTATACCAGATTTTGTGTGAGTATGCTATGCCATAGAGATTGTTGCATAGCACTGACAGTTTACAGAATCATTCCTGCCATCCCACAATGCGGATGGTCTCTGCTACACTCGGCAGCGATCCTACCTGCCCGCCCGTGCCACTGCTCATCACTAGCAGAGCCGTGAAACCTGGCCAAGACCTTACTTTCTCCTACTGGCACCTGGAGGATCTCACGCTGGTAGGTCTTTCTAACTCTAACATGACATTAATACTCCCGGTCGTCTGATGCAACCACAGGTGTAGCGCTCGGCTCTGAACGCACAATGTCCCACTGTTTGGCACATCTACAACGAATGCAGATGCGGCTCCCCTCAGTGCACTGGCTGGATCTCCCTCCCCCCTCGTGATGTGCTGAAGGCGGCCAGGGACCCATACAGGAAGGTCGCGGACTTGTGGTGTGATAAGTACGCACAAGAGGTCCTGTATGCTTGAATACACTGGAATGTGGCGGTTTTCTTGGTTGTATTTGTACGAGTATCCCAGTCTGCATATATTATGGTCACATATCACACTGTTTAAGACCTCCATGCCAATGATACTCCCTCAGTCAGTTTTACCGTGCATGTTGAAGTTAAGCCATGTGACCGCGTCATCTGGTCAATCAGCGCAATCTCGACAAGTCGAAACTTGCCTTCTGCTTCTACCATTGTTTTGCCGCGCTGGATCATATCGTGTCCAGCTGTAGTAACGACGTGACTGTCTGTCACCTCGGTCTTTGCTCTGGATACGATAGGAGAGTATGCTTCGCCATGCTCTGCCTACGTTGGCACACTTCGCACGGCGATTCAGTTTGCGCTAGCCAACCTGTTGACGTTCCCTCGTATGTGATTCTTACGGCCCTGCATTAAATGGGCTGGATATAGCTGTGGTTAGAGTTGGGCGGGTGCAGGCCGCTGTCCTATAGTGTGTTCTCGTTGTTCTCAGAGCGATATTCTCTCGTTCCGTGTTATCGAGATGGTGTGCAATTATACAACTACTCTAGGGATATCTCCCTCAAGACTATCCTTCACTTTTGCGACCTAATAGGTATACCTCTCGCTGTTATTCTTAGTGGAGTGGCAGCTCAACATGGACGAGGACGTCTTGGCCAACTTCACCGCTCACGTTGCCAGTGATTTCTCGGGCCCCCGGCCGTATCCCGCACTCGTCATCCCATCCGAAGCATCCCCTGCCACTGACGGCAGCAACCTCGCCGCTTTCAGACAAGGAGGGATTTACGCCCCGGCTCCCGCTGCCAAATCTCCTCGCCGCGCCGAGGTAAAGATGTCGACTTCGTCACCTTCCACCCCTGGAGCCTCGAGTTTGGCATCCGTCTCGCCCCCTTCCATCGCCGCGCTGCGCACGCCCACGGACATCGTCCCAAATTACCAGGTCAAGGTTGCCGGCGATGAGCCAGACGTTCGGCACCATGAGCGCTCGCATTCGATGCACGAGCCCGAGAGCTTAGTGCCTTCGACACAGGATCCATACCTCATAGGCGAGCAAGCCGGCGAGCGCGCCAACACGATCCTCGGCGCACCGGGCTCGAGGAAGCATGTGCCAAGTCCGACCATGCGCTCAAAACTACAGGTCAGTCGCGATATGTTTGCGTACGCGACGAGAACTAACTTCTGTGATGGCCAGCATGACCCTTCAGTATCATATGTACTTCACCTCGTTGTATTAGCTGTTCTGCATATTCACCCTATTGACGCAAGCGGCAAGTTCTTGTGACATTAAGCGAGCACTAAATTACGGGCCAAGACAAGAAGACGGTACGATAGCGACAACCCTATATCTACGAACTTTGGAACGGGAGCTTGCACATGTCAGCGTCACCCTCAACCTCTTTGACAAGGTTCTTTGGCTTGCGAGGCACGCGCTTAACCTTCGACCTGCCCTTCACCTTGATCGCGGTACCAGACGGACCGGCGCTGGAAACGGATATGACGTTGGTCTTCTCAGCAGCCTCAGCGTCTGCCTCAGCCCACGCCATTGTCTATGGAGCACGGTGAGTCTCTGATAAGTATGAATGGTGGAAGCCGCTTACCGCTACGATGTCGTCGTTGATGATGACGACGCTCTTCAGGTCCATCCGTAGGCAAAATTGATGACCGGCGGGCACAATCTTGAAACTAACCTCAACCTGAACGATTTGTCCTTGGCGAAGGAAAGCACCGCAAACACCGCTGTGAAGCTCGTATTCACCAGCTCTGTAAACAAATGTCAGAGCTAGTGGTCACAAAGTGGGCTGCAGACATACTTGGCCCCATGCGACGCCAGATAGACGTCCACCTGGTTGTCGTCGAGGATAACACTGTTCCGCTATGCGACGTACTGCATCACGATGCCCTGAGAATCCTGGTCGGCCGTGAGGGTGAGTGGCTCATCGCCTTCACACATCCGGTTGCGTGGAGTTGAAATCGGCGTGCTGATACAGATGGCCTGGTTGCCATTGATGACCAAGTCGTTGAGCGGCCTGAGCTTGCCCTCCGGACGACGAAGGCAAGCCATGACCCAGAAGTTCTGGATCGCCTTCTGGAAGTTCTTGAAGTCTGTGTCGCCGTTGTCAGCAAGCACAACGTACTGGTGCGCGGACGGTACGAATCCTTCGTGCCGGTTGAGGCTAAGAAGAGTGGTAAGTCAAAGCGCTCTTTCGGAAGCGTCGCAAGGAGACTCACTCCCTAAAATGTGAGTAGGGCATCGCCGAGAAGCTCTACAACACGCCAGTAGCGTAGAAAGTAGTTTCTTGGACGTTCTCGGCCGCCATTCCCTCCCTACTGCAGAGGATAGCGCTGCCATCAGGCTCGTCAACGAAGTACATGTTCTGGGTGGCGATTTCACGCTGATAGTGACGCTCAGCTATAGGTAATGTTGCAGACGAGAGGAAGACGTACGTCGGCATAGACCTTGAGCTGGTTGAATAGCGGGCCCGCCATCATTGACTCGTTGACCTGGTCAGCGACGCAAGCCTGCACCTTCGGATCACGGAGGTACTGCGCAAAGTTGAACGACGGGTGAGACATGGTGAAGGCGGGGTCTGGCGTGAAGAGAGAGGAGATAGCGTGCACGTCTAGCTGGGCAATGAGGAGTGAGGATGAGGATGGAAGGCAAAAGGTGCGTGCAGACATATCTTATATATCGTCTCCTCACAGCGCTGATGGGGGCGACTTGAAGAGGAAGAGCAGGCCATGGCTGCTGCCCGACAGTGCCAAGAGAGACCGCGTATGTCGGGTTTGCGCGTTATTGCTACGTGATGTGCAGGCACCTCTGTCTCCTGCCACTTTGCCGCCACAGCGGTTCTTGCTTCTTTCTCTGGTTGCCATTGTATTTCCTGATGGTAACGGTCCGGTCGATCTATTCCTATTAGCTGGCCTGTCCGATTCGTCCTGACCACCTCATTGACGCCTTGTCACTTTCCTTCTTCCTCTCAGCCTGTGTTCAGTGAAGCCTACCACCCACATCATTGAGGGAAAATCCATGAGTACGAATGGCAAGCTAATGCCGTTTCTTGGTATGTTCTCTCTACTGTAGGAACCGGTGAGCTCTCAACGGATATCCAAAGCGGCCTTGACTGATACATCTCAATGGGGCTCTAGGCTATACATAATACGACCATGTACGGCACCCGCGAAGCACATTGGGACCAGGTACCATTATTCTTTAGCATCCGAGAACCCCGTCCTCGTGTACTACTTGCTGTTTGGCGTGTTGCCCAGGAAATGGTCCGTTTGTACGTCTCATGCCACTTCCTCGCCGGATGTACCACCCCTCATCCGCCCTCACCGTCGGTCTTTGCGGTCGCCGTTGGTCTTTGCGGTCGCCGTCGGACTCAACTTGCACGTTGTCTTGTTCTGCTAATTGGTACGCCCGAGGCTTTCTACGCCTTGCTCCTGTAAATCTTGCTATGGCCTCACAATTATATCTGGCTTTCACCACTTCACCTACCTCGCAAGAAGAGGGGTGTAGATGCCATTATTTGCGCTCACAACCAGGAATACAATACACTGACGAGCTTCAGCTTCACAGTGGTCCAGTATGATCATCGGAGAGCCGACGGCAGAGTCGCATTTACTGCCATGATGGGCTATGCGGTTGCAATCACCATGCAAGGCGGCCAGTCACCTCCAATATCGCTGTAACCGCTTCTCTGGCACCATACCGCCCGGCTTGAGGTAAGTCTTCCTGTCCGCCAGCGGACTACAGCCCGGTGCCCTGCTCCGGCTGCTGTCCGTCTGCTTACGAGTACAGCACTTGGCGGTGCCGATGATCACCGGTCTGCTTTCGTGTTGGCGAAGTCAACTCTCCCTTCTTGGACCTCGAAGGTATATAAGACCTTATGCTAAGCTTGTGGAACGCGTCCACTCTCCGCTTTCACGCATATTTCGAGTGTTCACACTCAGCTTCGAATCTATTCTCTCAGCAACAACTACTTCGCCATGCCTCCCCGTCAGAACAAGACCACCCCGAAGGCCGTCGCGCTGAAGGCCACTCCCGTTCCTCCCGGCGCTCCCACTCGCCGTCATACCCGCACTAAGTGTGTAGGCATCATCCGCTCCCAAGCACCATTGCTCACCGACTGTAGTGCATCCTCTGCAAAGAAGGCGGCCAAGGCTTCTCCCGCAGTTGTCAAGAAGACCCGCATCCATAGCAATGAGGTCTTTGGATAAGCTCACATTGTTCTTTCTCTCTTTTGGCATGATGCTAACGCCCTTGCAGGTCAAAGGGTGGCAGTGAATCGCTCAAATATGATGGAGGTGGGTAAGACCTCTCGCACCTTGCTTTTCACAACCTTGCTTACTGTGCACTTATAGTGGGAACAAAAAGGGTGACTATGATATGGAGCAGGACGAAGTCTCTCCGACACCCAAGCCCAAGCCCGCTCCGAAGAAGAAAGGGTGCACTTACCATGTTTGCCTTGTATCCATTTCCTAACTCAGGTCCAACAGCGGGCTTCCTATCAAGGCCGAGAAGGTCGTTGGGCGTCGCCGCCCCTCACTGTAAGTAACTCTAACTTCCATATATCGTGACATCTTCATACTGATTCATACGCTCTGCAGCCGTCCCATCAAGCGCAAGCCTGAGTAAGTCTATTATTGGTTTCCTTCGATTTGTGCTCTTTGCTAACTGGTCTATATCAGGGTCGTCATCACGCGTCCCCGTACTCGCGGGCAGGCTTCGGCTTCGAAGGCGGCGGACTCCGACATTGAAGTCACTTACGACGGCACTGTCGAGAGCGGCCCGTCTATGTCCGCCGTCGACAACGACGACGAGGACGACAAACCCCGCATCAAGTCCGAAGACAACGACCATCGCCACAAGGACGACCACAGTATGGACGAGGAGACCGAAGCGGAGGAGGACAACCAGATAGACGGCGAGGAGGAAGACGGCGAGGAGGAAGACGGCGAGGAGGAAGACGGTGAGGAGGAGGAAGACGGTGAGGAGGGTGACGGTGGTGACGACGAGGAGAAGGAGGAGGAGGAGGAGAAGGAGGGTGAGGGTGAGGGTGGGGACGACGAGGACGAGGAGATGGAGGACGCGGATGGCGCGGTGGCCAACGATGATGTTGACGAGAATGGCAATGTCCACGGCTTCATCAACGACGGCGAGGTTGAGGAGGAGGAGACTGACGATGAGATGGATGTGGACAGTGACGAGGAGGCGGATGGCACTGCTGAGTAGGAGTTCTCGAGGTGCATAACTCATTCATGTGATCTACGACAACACTGATGCATTTACACGCAGTCCCAGGCCGGCGCAAATATCGGAACCGTGTCGTGCTTCGAAGACAAAGCGGTACGTTTGTATCTTTAATGTCGCACATCCCCTGCATTGTATGTCCGCAGGGCTCGCATGTAGCTTGAACGTGACTGTCTGTCACCTTCCTGCCTGCGGCGAGTACTGTGGATGACTACCATTTGCCGGCGATAATGATACTGATATTCAATCAGGACGTCCGACAACCTCTCTGACGCCGAGGACCAGCCCGCGACCTGCAAGCGGTGAGTTCTTTACACTGTAATTGTGTCCCATCTTTAGCAAATGACCTAATATGTTTCGAGCAGTTGTACATCCGAAAGCGTCAAATCCCAGGCCTCTGCTCAGGCGGCGCCCAAGGTCATCAAGGCCACAGGCTTCACGGCAAAGGTCGACCTTCGCTTCAAGGCTGATCCGAAGGTCAAGGCGGCGCCGAAGGTTGTGAACACGCAGCAACCTGAGGACAACAAGGTCAAGCCCAGGCATACTGTGGCGCGCAAGCCCCGGAGAAAGCAGTATGTCGAGGTCGCAGAAGTCGCGCAGGTACGTCACCTCTCATCTGAACACCTTTTTGACCTTGACGTATCATTGAAGGCTTCGGTACCTGATGTGCGGCCTATGAAGGAGAACCCCGAGCTTATGGCTGCGCTCGCCGGCAAGAAGGTCAAGAAGGCTCCCGCGAAGAAGGACAAAGGCAAGGGCAAGGAGCGCGCCAAACCTGCTAAGACCGGCGAGGAGCCGACCGCCTCTACGTCAAAGCAGGCCGAGGACGTGCTGGCTGAGGACGTGCCGGCCGCTGCGCCCGTTAAGGCAGACACGAAGCCCGAGAAGCCAAGTGAAGACGTCGAGCCACAGGATGAGGGTTGCGAGGTCACGGACATCGACCTTCAGTGTGACCTGCTCAAGGGCACGTACAAGGGTCTTGGGGGGCTTCTGTAAGCACCTTCATTGTGCCCTCGTTGTTCTCTTGCTGATGCTCCCTTTGTAGGCACACAAAATTTGCGTTCACGAACGCGCCGCAGATGTGCAGCCTCGCCGTCATCACCAATGACAAGCAATTCGAGGGTTACAGCAGCGTGTGCGTCACTGTCAAGTTTTCATCATTCAATCCGTTCTGACGACTGGCACCCTTCAGCCTCATTGTAGCTGTTGTCACCACGGTTATGATTGCAACTATGTACCTCATCAACCCCTTGCGTGCCGGATCCCCTGTGCTCGTCAGGCTTCTGGCACTGGCATGGCGCTCTGCCCGAAAGGTGCAAAGACTGGAGAGGTTGCGGACTGCGTCTTCTTCGGCTTTGTGGCCGCGAGCAACCTCATCGACGGTCGCAAGTACACGGCCAACGGCCTGACAAAGCAGCTCAAGGAGCTGCAGCTCATGATGCTCGGCCAAGAGCAAGAGCGCGCCTTCGCCATGCTGTCGGCTGTCTGCAAAGGCAAGCAGTATAACGTCCCCGTCACTGAAGGAGGTGCCTTTACGTTCTTGACGAAGCATACCACCGTCGGCGAGAACGGCGAACCCGACGCCAAGAGTGAGCCCTTGACCCTCCACTCTGACTCATTCACTGACTTACACACACAGATGCTGGTCTAGGAAGCACGTTCTTGACGAAAGCGGCGAAACCCATGCCCCGTGGAGTTTGCCACCCTGACATTATTCGTCGCACACGTGAGGGTACGGACACAGGTGACTCTTATACTCCATATGTTTCTTTCACGGTACTAACAACTCCATAGTTCCGGTGTTCAACTCCACGGCCAACTTCTGCGAGGAGTGCCTGCTGGGGACGCGCCTCAAGGCCGAGGACTTTCTGTTGCAGCGCGTGAAGGCTGATCCGAACTTCAACGCGGAGATTCCTCAAGGCTCTCTCGTCGCCGTGCACAGCACGGTCTCCATCTACACTGGTCGTGGCGGGAAGAAGTTCGTCTCATTCAACCTCCTGGCGGTTCAGATCATCGCTCTGCCAAAGAGCGCGTAGATGTTAGTTTCATTGGCCCGTAGACTTACCTTACGTGTCCCGCTCTCACCCAAGGCGTCGAGGTTGTGGTGCAATAATACTTGCTTGTCTCTCCCTGCTTACTCGTGTGATGTGTGTTATTATATGAAGAAGGCCTCCGGCCCGCTGCACATCCTACATAAAATATCTCAACATGACAGCGTGGACTAGGAATCTAATCCTCATCGTCATCATACCAAGTCAAGTCAGCCGAGTTGTACTAACCTGCGGTGAAACTGACTTGTTTGCCCCCTTTAGCCCGCTCCGTCTTCTGCTTCGTCACTTTGGGGCTTGCATGCAGGCTTTCTGGTACCTTGACAAAGTCTGTGTGCTTCACCGGAGGTTTCAGGTCGACCTTTTTCTCCTTCAGTATAGATGGCAGCGTCCTCTCGCGAAGTTCATTCACATAAGCCAGGCGCTACAAGACACTCAGCTACTGTGTGGATTTTTGCCTCTATTCGCACCTTCTCGGCAGAAGAAGTACCCAAACATGCAACCCTATTTCCAGCTGGCAATACCCTCCACCAAAGTTCCAATGCCTCCGCTTCACTACCCACACGTATGACCTCCGCACCTTCAATTCCATGGGCGGCGAAAATAGCGCCCCATCTTCAATTGAAGTCATTTCGCACGGTTCCCCTGTGGCTTTATAGACTTACTTATCAGTACATTCCGGCCTATACCCCTTGAGCACGACGTACTCGACTGCCATGTCCCATATTTCGTACACGTCCAGATCGTAAGCAAGACTGGAAGCTGAAGTCATGTTGGCAAAGGTTTAAGTGACCAGTATCCGCCCATGAGTGGAGGCAGCGATCTTATATAGTAGACCTAAGATTGACCGATCAAGGTGTGATAGAAGTGATCTCGGGGAAATGTCGCGGACAATCGCTGAGTCACACAACTCTCCCACAACGGTCATAGTCAAGCAAGACGCGACTATGTCCGTTGTGGGAAAGCAGCACGTGACACAACATTCATTTGCGGGATCCTGCTTTCTTTTTCCCCCCACCCATACGGGCTCAGTGCTGCCGGTATCACACCCGTCACACACCTTTCAGACATCCGGTTGATCTGGATAGAAAGCATATTAAACCAAATGACCTACCCACTACCAGCTCGATGCTGACGTGCTCGATGCTCCTCGCCCCTTCTACCCACCCGGGACACAGTCTCACGACCCTGCCCGGGCTTACCAAGTCTGCTAGCAGTCTACTTGACATGACGTCCATAGACTGGTACAGTAGCTCGGCTGTCCTGCCTGAGCTGGCTTGCTCGGTACATGCTACCTTGCAAGCCGAATCTGTTGCCACCGCGCACACCCTTGCCACCAAGCACCCTATGCCACCGAGCACTCCTATGCCACCGAGCACTCCTTTGCCACTGTGCACCCCCTTGATACCGAGCACCTTGCACCCACACAAATTGATGTACTAGATCACTCTGTCGATATATTCGACTTCAATATGGCTTCAATGAACCAGATAACTGACCCCTGTTGTGTGACTGATATTTCACCTTGGTCCCCCAGCTCAATTATGCTTCTGACAGAATCTAATCTGAAGGTCAGCGTTTATTTTGATGAGTCACGGCCATACTTGAGCATGTCTAGGCATCTTGCCAACCATCTCAAACTCCCTACTAAGGTGCTGGGACACAAGACAATTGCAACCGCCCGTGTTCAGACCCTGGATGAGTTTTTCATGTCAAAAAGAATCAAGCTCAGACTCAGACGTCGATGTAAGGGATATGACATCGTCCTTGGGTGCGACTTTCTTGAAAGTCACAACATCCAAATTGATTACTGGAATCAATTCTTCCGGTACGACACCCTAAGCTATGATATCATCTCAAACTCTCCAATTCCTGTCTTCACCATGAACAAACTGGCTTCTGAGAAAACTGAGAGCACTAAATGCAAAGGTACTACCTATGTGAGCTTCATAGAACAGTTACGAGATCGTATGCTGAGCCGTGCCCAAGAGATCACTCCATTCTGTGAATCAACTCTGGTTAGCGAACGTAAATGGGTTCTTCAGGCAATCAAGAACTGCGTTGGATACTTACAGGCATATGTAGATATACACAGACCGCGCGTCCCAGATCAATGCTTGTTATACCGCCTGGGAGAGGTTCCAGAAATGCATCTACAAAGGGGCATTCACATGGAAGCCTGGCGGTGTACTTTGAATCTTAGTTCAAGTTCGGAAAATCCTTCGGAATTTCGTACTTGTGCTACTTTTGGTGGTGGAAGGAAGACTGTCGGAGTGTGGGCAGGGGCAGAACTGATGAAGTACGTGCTTGACGGCGATGTCTGTGAGGGAAAAATGTCACTTAGCAAGATGAGTGAAAACATTTCAAAGATGAACATAATCTCAGCTACCGAGAAACTCGGGCTGTTTTTGAGCCCCCACTTAACAGTCAAAGAGATGAATTCTGAGATATTACTTCATGAAAGGAAGCGTCTGAAATGTTGTATAGATGCCATATCGTATTTTAAGGTCTCTTCATACCAAAAGCGACAGAGGAAAGCTGCTTCTAAGGACCAAGTCAAAGATATGATAGAAAAGCCTAGTTTCCCTCCCGAGCCTCCATCCGAAGATCTGAAGAGGCATATAATTAGAGACTTCTGCCATGATTTGATACCTGAAAACATGGTAGAAGCAGGATGTGCAGTGTGCGGATGCCTATCAAAAGAGTCTGATATGGAGGAGCTAACCGACGACCTGTTCAGTTATGATCTACTCACAGATCAGACACATAGAATGACTAGGAGAGAGCGCCGTTCAGTCAAAGATCCCATAGAAGAGATAGCTGGTCCGGTCATGGATACAGCATGTAGAAAAGTATGTCCCACTTGTCTGAAAGACTTGAGAAAAGACAAAGTGCCAAAGCTCGCTCTAGTGAACGGTAATTGGTTGGGAGAAGTCCCTCCAGAATTACAGGGCCTCACAATGCTCGAGCAGATGCTTATATCACGTCTGAGACATAATGCCTGTGTTTTGAAGGTGCATGCATCGGGTCAATTCAAGATGAAAGCAAATGCAGTCATGTTCTCGGTTCCTATGCCTAAGGTATACAAGACACTCCCCCCTCCAAGAGAGGAGATTGAGGCGATAGTGGCATTCATATTTATTGGCCCCACACGTCCGACTGATGATATGCAGAAGAGATTGCCTTCCTTCGTCAGGCGCAACAAGGTCAGGAAGGCTCTCGAGTGGCTGAAGTTGAATCATGAGGATTATAGTGATCTTGACATTTCATATGAGAATCTGGACGAGTATCCTGAAGCTGGCCCTCCTGTAATTCCGAACTACCGGCCGGAGTGGATTGAAGATGAACTGGAGAACAAGGCCGTGTATGAAATGGAAGATTGGACTGCGGTTGCTGAGGGAGAGTCTCCACTGATAGTACACACCCTGACACTAGAACAAATGATGGCTACCAATGTAGATGTGAATATGTTGAAAAATGCAGCTAAGAGGCATCTTCTACGTGGTGGTACAGCTTTGGCTATAGGACACTCAGCGGACCCTGAGTCCATATATAGTAATCCCCAGATGTACCCCAAAGCATTCCCATGGCTCTTCCCATATGGTCTCGGGGGGATAGGGAACAAAAATGGATACTCTGTGGTGGGAGATCTACTGAGAAAATGGTCTCTACTCTTGTACCATGATAAGCGCTTTCAGACAGACCCCATTTTCTCGCTGGTGGCACTCAATCATGAACAGGTGAAGAATAGCACAACTGGCAGCTTTGTCACAGTGAAGAAAGGAAATCTTGATGCTATGGCAAGCCGCATTGTCAATGCAGATGTAGATGCTATGGATGCTGTACTTCAGAAGTTGAACAAGGGTGAACAATTTGACCTGACTTCTAACTCTGAGAACGCGTTGGGCGCCTCAACACCGCTCGCCGTCTGCGCACGGCTCCCTTCGCCCAGATGTTTGGCCTCGGAAGCGTCGACGGCAGCGTTGACGGCGCGGACATCATCGTGAGCATGTCGAATGCTACCGCCGTACTCGTTAGGCTGCGGGGGAGTCTCCCAGATGTCACCGCAATCAGTATAAACATTGTGATCCGAGTCGGGCGAGTGCTCGCCGTCGGAGTCAGAGTCGACCACCTCGATAGCATTCTCGCCGTTCAACATTGTGAAGGTCACTCCCGAGCTCGACTGCTTGACAGCTACGGACTGGAGAGACTTGCCGGGGATGGTGATCTTGGCAATGCGCCTGTTTATATCCTCCATAACGTTGTTGTGGTGGGCGGCGTCACTGGATGAGGACGCACGCGGCCCGGTCGACAGCAACGTTGAAGCCTGGGGCACGTCAATAGATTCGCGGTGTCGACCACTAAGACGCGAGATCGCGGAGTTGATCTCCAACAAGAACTCGGGGGTGATGACGGGATGACGCGAAGGTGTCGTGGCCGGCTGTGTGGCCTTGCCCTTACCAGCGTGTTTGCGAGTACGAGGTGCCGGCTCGGGAGACGGAGGAGGCGCAGGGGTCTCGGGCTTCAGGGTATGCGCTGCGGTGAACCGCACGGTGACAGGGCTGTGAAAGAAAGCCGGAAGAAGCGGAGACGGAGCAGCTGCAGCCGCAACGGGCAGAGGTTTACTGACAGCAGGCAAACCAGACGGAATAGGCGTTTGACGTGCCCTAGGAGCTCTCGGCGTGGCAGGCGTCTGGGCCTGCGCGGGTGTAACACGAGGCACACTCGAAACACGAGTGGGTGCCGACGATGTCATTGCTAATGCCTATGCGGGTGCAGGCGCAGACACAAAAGCAGGTACGAGTGCAGGCGCAGAGACAACAGCAGGAGCGGGTACGGGCGCAGAGACGACAGCAGGAGCATGCGTGGGCACGGGTACAGGTGCGGGTGCAGGTGCACGCACAGTATCGACAAGTATCACGGGTGGTCGACCGTCAACAGTGGGGGGCAAGATCGGAACCCCTGCGATGGACTGCTGGCGGTACCAGTCCCACAAAGCCCTTCGTCCATCGGTGAGCGATTTGTGGCAGTTGCCACTATAGCCGTTGATCTGGGCTTTAGCTGCGGGCCTGTAGGACGCTCAGCATCGGACAGGGTGACATGAGATCAAGCGTTTTACTAGGTCGTGTAGAAGCCGGTTTCCCAGCCTTTCACAACCATATAGAGTCTCCCGTTCGGGAGCTAGATCAGGGGACTGATGAGAGGTGCCCTCGCTAGCACAAGACAAATCAGTCAATGTTCATACAACACGTACAAGAGCTTACGATGGTAGAAGTTCATCGACATCTTGTGCTGCAGGTGGGCGGGGTGAAAGTTGGGGCAAAGAGACAGAGGGACAGAATGTAGGTGTCGACCCTTTAAATTTATCAGTCAACCGTAAACACGGACAACGAGCCCGTTCTCACCGGAGCATTGAACCGAAAAGTGTCGTTGCACTTCAAGCAATGTGACCTCCAAATTGAGACACACGAGGCTGATGATGACCACTAACCATATGTCAGTGATCAGTGTAAAATGAAATGAAGAGGTGCACTCGCGTCCGTTCACCCACTCGGTAACTTCGCCATGTCTAGCTTTCCTTCCCGGTGATCTACCAAGTCATGGTTCTTGAGCGAGGAGGTCGCTTGGATGAGGCTTCGCGTACCCCAGCACAAGGCGCTAAAGGGAAATCGCGGCGCTGTCACAACCTTCCTAAAGGGGACGTATCAGGACTTCTGCGAGGCGTTCCCGAAGCGCGTGGAAGAAGAGAAGCTGCGCCTAGCCGCCGCGAGGGAGCGCGCTGGCGCCGCCGCCACCGCCATAGCTGCACAACATCAGGAAACGAGTCAGGAAGCTGGTACGTTCACTCAGTGATCATTGTCGAAGGCAGAACGTTGAATGTCTTGCAGGGAGCACGGTTGACGGAGCTGAAGTTGGCGCAACGGTATCTGGCGCGGATGATGGTGCAGGGACAGGCGGTGCTGGATCAGACGCCACAGCACCAGAGAAGGCGCCAAAAGAAGTGGTCAACGCGCGGAAGGCGCAAGGCAAGAAGTCGAAGGCCAACGGAGATCCTAGTTTGCAAGATGTGAGCGCCATGTTCGTTGAATCTGGGATCATCACTTACAAAATGGCATGATCAGCGCATCACTACCTGGTTCAACAATAAACGCGGTGTTCGCGACGATGCTGCGGTTCAACCCCGGACGCGCGGTGCGATGCCTGCACTCAAGTTACACCGATGCCACCCGACAAAGCCACAGGTACTCATGGGCGTGCTAGGCGACGAGTACAACAGCAAAGTGAAGGCCGACTATCCGGATTGGCTCAAGACCGTCGAGAAGGACAAGCAGAAGACGCTTATCGGGTACCGCAACATGCGTGCGGCGCAAGATTGGCCGAATCAGCCACCGAACATCGTGGAGGAGGTCGAGAGAATTTGGAAAAGGACGGAGAACGCGCCCAGCCCTCCCTTAGAGCTGCCTGTCACTGAGAGCGAGGAGCTTGACGACGCAGCGCGTCAGGAGGCATTGAGGCTAGCGACTGCACAGTACTACGAGGAGTGAGTATCTTTAGATTACGCGTGAACTGTGCTAACATACCGTAGTAACATCAACCAGCTCGAACCGACATGCCACAAGATACTTTCCGATATGTATCGCCAGACCGGGCTCATCGCCACGATCTCCTTCGTTGGTCCTTGTCCGGGACTTGGCGGCCAGCTGACGTCATTTGTGTAAGTCCAGTGTGCGCCACAAATGATACGAGGCTTACCTTTGCCCAGAATACACACATCCATTCCCGGGGATCAACGGACGTTCCAAAGTTTGTATCCCAAGTACTGCAAAAACGTCGTAGAACCCTTCATCAAGTTTGGCCAAACTGTCTTTTGTGAGTTCTTCATTCGGCCCGTTCATGTTACTCAACACTCACCTTTATGCAGCTCCGGAGGTTCAAACCGCACGCGCATTGGTACCCGTGACAGATCTGCGCAGTTCGACACTGAGTAGCATGCCGCCGACGGCCGCGGCGTCCAAGGCGCCCTCCCCTGCACCCACCGGGATGACAATAAAAGCGGCCAAGCCAAAGAACGCTCGGCCAAACGCTACGCGTGACGACTCTTCCTCGGAGTCCGACGACGATATTGTTTACGAGGATCGGGACGTTACTCCAGTTGAGGCCGATGCCGGTGCTCAGCCCACTGTGCACGCGGATCGCCCTCGCGGAACGCCCACCGAACGAGCACGCAAAGAGCGTATCCTCGAAAACAAGAAGCTGATGGAAGAGTTAGGGCTAAAGCAAGCAGCAGAGGCGTTAGCAAACTCCGTGAAATCATCGAGCACGAAACCGAAGGCGAGGCCTAAGCCCAAGCCCAAGCCGATAGCGCCGACTTCTCCGCGACAGACCCGATCCAGGTACGTAGTGTTTCATCGATAATTTTGTGCTACTTACAAACTCCTTGTATAGTAAGGAGAAGATATCAGGCGGAGCAAACACGACCGTGGCGCCAGACACGCATACTGGAGACGCTCAGCTGCCTCTACCGCCAACAGCTATGCCCGCAATGTCACCGGCGACGGCGCCAACCTCTACGGCCGCCGGCGAGGACGAGGATGCCGAACCATCCTCTGCGTGCGCGATGCCCGACGGTGGCGATGGAAATTTTGTGACAAAGGAGATGGCGCTGCTGTTGTTGAAGATGATCGAGGAGAGTGATGGTTGCTGGGAGACATGGAAGGTTGTCGTGGACCAGTACGTTCAGCTCGAGCGTTGGGCGAACTTCCCTGATGGAAACATAAGTCCGATGCATTTTCGTAAGCAGATAGAGGCTTACTACATCGCCTAGGGAAAGAAGGGCCTCGATACGACTGGCCGTCCGACTCAGGTAGGATGGTGGGTCACGCGCAAGCGCACTAATAAGGACCTGCCTCTCGAGGACGTACAACTGTACGGCGACACGCTGACAAAGTGGTACCTATCGCTTCAACCTCAGTGGCGGGGAAAGGCCCTTCCATTGAACAAAGACGTACCTGTAGGCAAGCAATGGGATGCTCTCAGGGTTGCTGGGCGCAACGGTCTGCTCAGCTTGATCGCTGCGGTTGGCTGGTAGTAGAAGTGTGCGCACGAAGATCAAGAGGAGAAGGGGTTCATGTACGCACTGCTGGAGGACCTAGTGTGGACGGTGGACGTGATGGTGAAGTCGGTGGGTAAAGGCAAGAAGCGCCCGTCAGAGGGGGATGACGAACACGCGGCGAAAAAGCGCAAGTGAGCGCTCGTCATTTCTTAGGACCAAGTGCTTGGTTTGCTTCAGTCTTAAATACTACTGTGCCGCTCGCGCTAGTTACTCTACCTCGCATTAATACAATTCTGACTATGTGCATCGCAAAAATAAGGACTGTATTGAATGGCTAGATGCCTCAGAACGTACTCAAAAGAGGCGCGCGCGTACGATGCCTACGTCATCACGACAGCGGGCCGCGAGTACATTATAAAAGGTCAAACGCACGGCTCGTACACTATGAGGAGTACAGATATAGCAAGTGGATGGCGTGTGTCCGAACCTATGTAGGAATGGCAGAGTAACGGGCTCGCTAGAACGGTCTCGAGCTGGGATTGAAAAGATACCGTAGGGATGTCCGGTACAGTATTTAGCAAAGCGCAAGCGTTGCCGCTGTGCAGCGAGATGATAGGGTAAAAGAAGGAGCGAAATGTATGGAAGGACGAGGATACAGGCGAGAGAATAATACAGGCGAGGGAGGATGCGGATGGGGGGAGGCTGGACGTAGGCGCGTCTGCCCCGAGTGAGCGGGAGTCATGAACAATAGGATTTATCTAGTAAGCCATTAGTGGGAATACGTTGCGTGGTCTGTACACGCACCAGGGCGGGGTAACCCGTAGGTACGAGCGACGGAGCATTTAAATAACCTGTGTATTTCATAAGCTTTTGTGTACTCTAGTGTGTAACCAAGAACATGAATATTACCTAGGCGTGTTCACATACCTGTCATGAAGCAGGCAAGCAGCGAAGAGCTACGGAGAATATAATGGCGTAGGCGGCTGAGGGACGGGACCGGAAGATTGTGGGGGGTGCTACGCGAGTCAATGCGGCCCGAGGCCTGCTCCAATTTGCCGGGCGGTGTTGTTCGGCAGCCTCCGTGATTGATTGCAAGGCCCCAGAACAGGCACGACAGCCCATTAGTCACCATCAGGTTATCTGGGCCTGCCTGTGATTAGTTCACCACCCATGGACCCTACTTACATTTGGAGCCCCTTTTAACCACTCTATACTATTAGTATGAAGTCAGCTACAGTCCCGAGTGACAACGCCAACCGTCACGCCTGTGAGCATCACCCACCGACCTCTGCGCTGTTTGCTACAGGCGAACCCGCACCGTCGCCTGAGCTACCTAGCCAGGGCAATCCTTTGCCGCCTGTGATATCGGGCCTCCATGCCGCAGATAAACAGTCTTCTTGCCATAAACCCACACACCGAAATCCACACAACAAACCTTCTTATGAAAAGAAACGCGCGCGCACTGGCTACACGGAGCATCATGCCGCAGAATCTGCGCGAAGGCGGCACGAGGTCAAGGCTTGGGTGCGCAATCAAGGAGGGCTTTGGGGAGCACTTCATGGCCCCGATTACGAGCGCGCAAGGCACGCTCACCGTGTCTTTGGCATTGATCATGACGGCAATGTTGTCCTTTCACACTGTTGGAATGGATTCACCAGTCACAAGCCGGACGGGCACCGAACCAACATCGAGGAGACCATGTCGAAGGAGGAGCTCGATGAGGAGGGTTTCTGGGGTCTTGAGTGGGACGGCAGGTAAGCTAACCCTTCAAACATGCTGAAGTGCACTGATGCCTGTATAGGCTTACATACGTATTCCTCGACATCCATGATACAATTATCATTGTCACTGTTGGCGCCCCGGCTGAGGAGATGGACCGGCCGCCTGAAAAGTGTTGGAGCGATTTTATGAAGAAGGTCACCAAGCTCCTCGAGAGCCAGCGTGCAGCGCACGAGGGCAACTTTGAGAGAGAATGGCAAGGGTAGCCGCGGTCCCTTTGCGGCTGTGAATTTCGGATTCTTGATGGGTATGGGGCAAGCAGTACGTGTGCAATGGGGCTTTGTGTCGGCTGCTGCTGAGGTGTTGCAGGCACCTAAGGAGCTTGGCTTCAAACTCGCAGGCCACGGCGAAATCGCTCAGGTGCTGAAGGATAGCGAGGAGCTTCAGCAAGCAGCGAAGCATGGAAGCGGTAAGCCCTTGTTGTCATCTGCGGCGATGTTGGCGCCTGTATGCTGATCTTCGTAATAGAGGCCTTCACTACCTGGTTTCCTCTTGCTTACTACCATCTCCGCCGCACCATGAAGAAGCTTGCTGCTCGCGACCCGACCATCGCGCCTCCGTTCCCCGGCTCAGTGTATCCAACCGCTTGCGCCAATCTAGGCCCGCATATGTGTTGCCACTGGCATCATGATGTAAATAACTATCCGGGTGCTCCATGTTGGATTCTTGCACTCGGGAACTATAACTCGAAGCTTGGCGGCCACTTGGTTCTTCCGCAACTCCGCATGTATATCGAGTTTCCTGCAGGCGCCTCAATCCTGCTATCATCAGCTGGGATCAAGCACGGCAACACCTCCCTGCAGCCAGGCGAGAAGCGCTATAGCTTCACTCAGTACTGTCCGGGCGGTCTTTTGCGCTATGTTGCTTACGGGTTTCGCCTTGCCCGTGAGGTCCAAGACCCGAAGGTTCGGCAGGCGATGGAGGAGCGAGCAGGCGAAACTTGGAAGCAACAATACGCCCGATTCTCGACGTCAGCAAGCCTGGTACGTTACCGCCAATGGGTACGAAGTCAGGAGGCTCTGGAGGCTCTCATTCTTTAACTGTGCGCCTCTATAAACTATGTATGTTTCCTCGCAACTTTGCCAATGCAAGTTCTGACCAACTGTCTAGCTTATATTTATGTATGATTGTCTATATACCCCTTGGAATCCATTGATGCCGGACTTATTGCCCCACTCCGTCAGGCTGGTATCATTGTTGCGACTCTCCAAGCGGTTTCTATGCCGCCAGAGGCGCCCTTCTGCAATATAAGTTAGGAATACGCCTCTGCGCTCCTTGCAACTAACCACCCACATTCCCTCCTCAGCCACCCACCTCCTACATCTCCTACTCGCCCACATGCCTCGCGTCGGACCTGACGGCCAGATTTCTAAGGCGGCCCGCAAAGCTGCTGCCACGGTGGCGGCCAAACCGAAGAAGCCAAAGACGTTGTCTGAACAGCAGCGGAAAGCGCTTCGCATGCTTCGCGAGTGCAAGGCCGAACTCACGAGTGACTGTGTCGACGATATGTTTGTCTGCCTCCGCAAGCTGGCCGTCGACGTCGACATGTACATGTTCTGTATCATGAGGTCCTTGACTGCCGTTGACGCTGTATTAGGGAGAACGAGATGGAGAAGGTTGCTGCGATGGTTGGGGAGATGCTCACCGCCAAGCTGCGCAAGTGCCCGAAGGTCAGCGGGTGGCCACAGCACGTCAAGGAGTTCATGGCAAATACCAACTTGGGTGTGCTCTCTTCTTCATACCGTTGTTGTCACAATACTCATCAGCAAACAGGTGTAGATCAGGGCACTCGTGCGCATCTCATAGACCTTACCGAGGAAGAGCGCAAGGAGATGTCCTCGATGTATGAAGCTCTCACCGAAGAAGAACTCATCGCTCTCGTTGCACGCGCTCAGAGCGACCGTGACACTAAGGACGTGGCCGTTGCTAGTGGCTCAACGACTGGCTGCAAGCTTGGCTCCGGTATGGCTGAGGGTGTCGTGACGAACAGCTGGGACAATGTTCTTGCCGTGGTGCGTAGCATACCGTGCATGGTGAATATGCGATTGCTCACATGCTCCAAATAGCTCAATTCGTTGGTCTTCATGAACGGCAGCGAGGTGTTCTTTTTGTTTGCTTGTGGAGGCAATGAGTCGATGTTCAATAGCCGGTCGTTTGCTACTCCTAAGGCGAAAACGTTCTTCCACCACATAACAGGCGCTACCCCGGACGAGATCGCACTTAGTCTGGAGTCCTTCACCATCAGCGGTATCTGCAAGCTGTTCAAATTGAAGGACAAGTCAGGTTCGCCGACCTTTACATCCCTTAGGTATATCTACTGATGGACTGATTAGACCGCTCAAATGAGACCAGCTCCGAGCGTCTCAGACGCGAGAAACAAGAGGTCGGCGATAAGATCACGGCTATGTGGGGTAAGTTAGTGCTTCTCTTCACTATTGCTTAGATGTCTGATATGTTGACAGTTACCATCATGCGTGAGCATAAGCTCTATACTTTGAATACGCGCCCGATGTGGAAGCGCTACGAGATAAAGATGGTCAGAGAGCATGGCATCGCGCTCGATAACTGGCCGCTGAACAAGACGCCGGGCGACTGGATCATGTTGACCAAGGACCGAGGTTGCTAGGCTTAAACGGAGCCTGGAAAGCGGCTCGCTCAAATGGGTGAAGCTGATGCCTGAGCAGCTGGAGAAGTGTGCTGCACGCTATGAGACTGGGCGCATTACGCGTAGTGTAGCAGAGCTTGACGAAGACACAGACTCTGACTCTGATGAGGACTAGTAGTAGAGCCCCTTATATTCCCCTTCGCACAGCCTCGGGCCCTTTTCTCTGATAGTGGTAATATAGAACGATCTCTAATATATGTACTGTGTCGAATAACCTTCTGTGTACCATGCCCTGGCCCAACGCTGGGCAACTCTGGGATGAAAGCAATGGAGAAAGGCCGCGACCGAAGTCACGTGTGCGCGTCTTAGTGCGTTTTTCGCGCGCTGTGAGCCATCATCAGGCCATACAGCGTAGAGTAAGTGTGTCCCGCCCTGTATCTCTACGCCATGTATTTTGTAGCTACTATACGAATGTTTCTATGTAATTTTTATAGTGGAAATGCCGCTGTACGCTCTCCCAGACGCCTACGACGCTGAATATCTGGCGCGCCTTGGCGTCTTTCTGTGGGAGCCCGAGCTGACCGGCATCAATGGCCTCGAGCCCAGGCACTCTGGGACCCACGGACCTCGGCCATCACTCGCAGCCCCTGTGAACCCATGGGGCAACGGCCCGCACTGCGGACTTCCTTTCTCGGACGTGCTCCAGCAACTCTCTATATTTTGAGTATTTTACTATATAAATTGTATAGTTGTATTCCCCTGATAAATACGAGTCTGTACATATATATATGTAGGGGGTACGCCACTGTGGGGGGTCAGATATGCATGCTTGCTGTGCATCACAGCGAGCACGCCTCGGCGGGTGGCGGGAGCACCGTGGCGGCGGGATTCAGCACTTGCCGAAGGGCGCGGGCCTTCGGGCAGGCGCGCCGGCGTGCTCGAGGAGCGGGCAGTACAACTTAGCACTGTGGCAGGCCCGAACTGGCAGGAGGTTGGCCAACCTGGCTAGACGTGGGCAATCGGCATCGATATCAAGCCAGCGCGGCACGCACTGCTTTATTGATGGGGTCAATTAACTGAGAGAATCAGGTGACCGAATCAGACCGGACATGTGATCGAACCGACCTGACCGAAAAGCCGCGACACGAGAGTTGGGTGGGGACTTTTCTCCTCATTGGGTTAAACGCTCAGGTACAAAAATTCAGGTCTTCGGTAAATCAACAAGTCAGAGATGACTCGTAATATGATGATGGGCCCCTCGGAGCTGCTGCTAGGTGAGAGTGCACAATAAGCAGGTGTGAAGAATGAAACAAATTGACAAGCTATTCATAAGGATATATGCAAGGCAAACTACCTATGAAGGCATTAAAAGAAGTCTGATTGTATCACATAAGCAGCTGAAACATATAAAAATATAAAAAACATGAGAAAATTAAAATTAAAATGCGGTAGCCAATCCATGACAGTGGGTAGAGATAAACGAGAGGATGTACACTGATTACATTGGATAGAGATAGAGATATCTTTCACAATATCTTCATTGCAAATGCTTTGATCCTGTTGTACTATAAGAACTGTTGCCTACTTCCAGTATATCAATGATAAAAGTCAACTCCTTGCTCTCCGCATATTGTAATGAGCCTTTCTTGTTATCTGATCCTCTGTCCTGTGTATAGTAGCTCATTCTCATGTATTATAGTATCCCTGATCAAAGTCAGCACAATATAGCCAGGCAGATGTGATCTTTGTCTCCCTTGTATTGGCTGACAATGCCACACCCATGACAATACAATGCGGGTCGAGTGAGAGTTAAGTTGTGCTGCTCTTCTATAGGGTAGTGATTGGAAATATGCTTACGCTTTTGAGCAGAACTGTGGTTGCTGCTGAGCACTGACTTGCATTATAATCAGCCGAGAATAAGGAATGCTGGTGATTGCTGTGCGGGTGACGTGACATATGATCTACCCTTCCAAGTAGAAACAAATGGGAGCATATGGATTTATTCCTGTGAAGTCCTTATAAGACATCAGATGCAAGCCACAGTTGACAGGTTCCAAGTTGCAAAATGTCTTAGAATCTGAAGATGACATGGAATGAGCTATACCATGTGTGATCTCCCCTTCCAAGAAGGGATAAATGAGCACTTATGGCTTCATTCCTTTGGGCCATTACGTGGCATTGAATACAATCCTGGGCCAATTGTGTTTGAAATTTTCTTTATCTGCAGTTCTAGACCAGTTGAATTTGATGTTCTCTCACTGGCCGGCTCACACAAAAGAGACACTGCAGATATAACCTATTATACCAGTTGTCATGTCTGGCAACAATACTTCTACCAGTCTATGCTGTAACTACTATGTATGCAAGACCATTGACTACGGTTGGTCCAACACCCATTTGCGCAAAGTGTGCAATGAAAAGTGAGCCCATACTCTTTACAAGTAGAGCTACCCTGACATTTTTTGTAGCCATAACTAAAACGATGGTGATCTGTGTGCAGTACCGGGATGCAGTAACGTTCTGTGGCCAACCGCCATCAGCGTTGTAAAGCTGGGCAATCACTACACTTGCTACCATGGCTTGAAGGATGCCCATCTCTTTTAATAGCAAAACAACACGCCAGCACAATTATCCAACTCGTAGAAGTAGGCCATGACAGCTGGCAGGACGAGTCATCCCTGGCTCTATTTTATGTATATGTACTCTTTTTCTTCTACTCAAATCAGAGAAGAGAAACTCCCACACCACGGGGCGCAGCCCCGTGGTGTGTTTTGTGTCTGGCTCAGTTCAATATATGTGAGTGCCAGATAATAGCCTGTTAGAAAAGGGAAATCCCCACACCACGGGGCTGTGACCCGTGGCGTGTTTTGTGTCGGGCTCAGTTCAATATATGTGATAGCTATTAGAGCAAGCAAGCTAGCATCTCTCACATCTTGTCATGATCTAATGAGAGCTAGTATGTACTTGCAAGCTTCTCATTGAGCTTGAAGAGATAGAGAAGCATGACATATTAGTCTGTGCAATGAGGTTACTGAGGCTGTGAAGTAGGGCAAGATTCATATAGTTTAATTCAATATCAGGGTATCCCAGCC